ACAAATAAGACAAAGAAGAAGAACGGGACAAAGATCAATGATTCCTTGTAAGGTCTGCAGCATCTACACCCTGACAATAGTGAAAAAAAAAGAAAAAAAAAAGCAGCCTTGAAATGAGTGTCTTTAAATCCACTGGAGATTTAAACATGCCGTGTTCTGTGTTTGTCTTTCAGACGGGATTCTCTCGTTCCTCATTCTCTCTCAGCTCGTCCCGCTGCAACCTCAGCCTGTTCGGTCTGCTGCACTCGTCACAAACATCACACATTTTCACTCACACAGACATTTCAGACTGATTCTTCATACTCACATTTCATATCAGTTATCTGAGATTTCAGGTAAACAAAGCGTCATCTGTGTGTCTCTTAGTTACCAGCCCTGAGCCAGGTGGAGACACCTCCCATCAGTGATTTTACCCGGTTTCAAAGGGCAAATATACAAAGTTAATAATGTTTGTATCTTGTTCTTCTATTCAAAGAAGTTAGTGCCAGAGTTGTCTTTGCTCTGAGTGAGTACACATAAATAAATGAGTGTTTGGCCTGCAGCAATGTGAGACTGAAGTCAGCTCAAACACCAAAAGTCCCTGCAGACATAATTAAAACCAGGGGGGGGGGGGGGGACTGTGCAGCTTTATTTTTGTACTTTAAATAAGTAATGAGACACACTTGAAGTTTAGTCATCATCTGTGAGATCGCTGGACGTTTCTGTGAAAGATAAAAAAAAGACATCACAGCACGAGTCAAGTGAAGAGGAGTCAACCTGAAAACAGATTTACTCAGTTTATTTATGACTGTGAGCGACGGCTTCATCCATGAAAACAACTACTGTGTTTTATTAAATCAGACATGACCTTGCTGTGTTTGTTTTCCAAACAGCAGACAACTGAACAGTATCTTTACTAATCTTGGAAATCATCTACAAGAGCATTTTTAGTCCACGTCGGTTAAACCCCCCAGAAACACAATCAAAGTAGATTATAATCTGAGTTAAAGATGGAGTCAGCAGCTTCTTTCTGAAATAAAATATGGATTTATAGAGCTTTCACACATGCAGAAAACTCCTGATATTTCCAGGAGGAGCTGCATGTGTGAACACAAACAGCTGAATGTTTCTCTCAGACTTCACCCTGAGTTTCTTCTCATATTTATTCTGCAGAAAGTTAGAGTGAGCTGATGTGAGAACACAGCAGGATATTCTCCGGAGAATTCACCTGGAGCCAATAGAGGGGGAGTGACTTTTATATCCTGTGATCGCTGGAGGGCAGATTTGAAATCAGCTTTATCCTAAAGTGAAGCTGCTCCATTGTCCCTTCTGGGCCTCCGTACATGTGTGGTGGTGACTGTGTCTGCAGAGACTCTGTCCTCTGACGGGACTTCACTGTTCTGATTTGTTCTGGTTGACTCAGGACGTTTCTGGGCGGAGCTGGTGTGTTTCCTCCAGCCAATGACAGCGCAGCAGGAGAGTTTAGGAGTGGCTACAACTCAGAGACTGGACAAGATTCAAACTGTTGAATATGACGGACGTGGCTGTTGCGGCAAAGAAGAGAAAATATAATCACAGCGACTTTCAGCTGTTTTTTACACGTGGATGTGGAGTTGGTCGCTTTCTGTTAAAACAGCCAGGTGACAAACACCAGCTAATGAAAAAGATATCTGCACATTTTGGAAAAAGATCGACTAAATACCGTTTGAAATCTTAGACTAAGATGTAAGTTTTAATTTAATTTAATTTAATTTAACTGTTGGATCAACAACATGAAAAGCTCTCACAACACTTTTCAACATGTTTCAAACGAGCTGTCTGGACTTTCTTTGACCTTTTATTTCAGAGCTCATTTGGATTCTTCCAGCAGCTCCAGACGAACCTGAACGCCGCAGAGAGTCTCTGAACCTTTTAGTGAAATAACATCAGCCCAACAGGTCAGTGCAGAGAGGCTGAGGTCAAAGGTCAGGGGGGTCTGCACTCAGGTAAACCATTAATCAGCAGCTTCTCTCCGCACATAATCAGAACAGTCTCTCCTCTCTCTCTGGGGGGGGGGCTGAGTGGAGCTGAACACACGAGAAGATTTAAAATAGTCAGAATTGTCCTTTAATCTGGGAGATATGGAGGATCTGTAGTTATCGGAGGGAACGATGAACTCAGGCTGCTGTAAGCTGCAGAAACAAACTGAAAACGTTGAAATGTGACGATTTGAAGCATCACAGCCGTGACGCCCGCCTGCCCGCTCTGACCTCTGGATTAAGGATTACCCACCACACACTGAGAAGCACGAGATTACGCTTTTGTGTTGTTGTGTCCGCATGCTGCCCGTGAGGAGTCCAACGTGCAGGGAGAGAAAGGACACTCTGGACGCTCTCTGAAGCTGCTCACAGGAAACAGGTGGTTTAGAGTTTGAAGATGGAGATTCAGAGGATAAAGCGAGGCTGAGGAGACGGAGAGAGTCAGAGTCTGATTGGACAATCTGTGCTGTGAAGCAACTGATAGAATAACTGAGTAATTCAACCAGCTGCAGAGTTCAGTTATTTAAATCTCTCTGATTTATTTTGATTTAAAGGCTGCAGATGATCTTCATGGAGATATCCTGTAGACAAACACATTCATAGTTTGGATACAAATGTAAACATATATGAATGTAAGATTTAAAAGTGAAGTAAATCCAAATATTTGAGTTTAAGTTAAAAATATCATCATCATCCTAGCCTCTGATTGGCTAACGGAGGGACATGTGATGAGTAACAAGGAAGTGATAGCTGAATCAAAAAAAGCAGACGAAACCCACTTTTCTGTTTTGATTGACAGCTGTCACACCAGCACAAATGAGCCGCACTAACTTTGCAAACGGACGCGATTTTGAACTACTGAGCGAGTTCAACATACCCACGCTATCTTTGGCTTGTCTGGTCGATCAGCTCCGGGAGCTCCACGATCAAGAGATCTGATTGGTCAGTGGGCGGAGGTTTTCACAGGTTGATCTCTTATCTCAGACATAACCTGCTCCGGAGCAGGTTAGGCGTGCAGCATAAGTTACTGTGGCGATATGCCCAGGAGAAGAAGTGAACGACCTTTGTAGGAAGGAAAACCCTGAAGTGACCTCGCTAACACCAAATCCTGCTTCATAGTGCAGGCCCCTGCTGTTGTGTTTTGTATCCCTGCAGGTCGATGGTGGACGATGATCCACCACACCTGCACACCTGGGCGGTCTCTCTCAGGTGTAGGCTATTTAAGATCCGGCAGACCCATCCACCCTCTCATTCAGTCCCAGCCTCGTGTCATCCCCACAGCTCCTCGTCACACCATGCTTCTGTTGTAGTTTGCTCATGTTTAGTTTTACACCACACTCACACAAGCTGCACACACTCATTCACTGACAAACACTCCTCACTCTCTTCAGAAATGGTCATTATTAAAACTTTTACCCTGTTTAGGTCAACTGTATGTTTCTTTGTTTTTTGTCAGGCCTTAAGAGCCGGGTCGTGACTATGTAAACACACAAGTGAAAAAAAAAAAGAGAAAGCAAAAATTAAAAAAAACTAAGAAAAGAGGCAAAGATCAGGCAGAAGATTAATTAGTACAAAACGAGCTTTTGCAGCCATCATGACGTCACACCTTCAGTAAGAAGCTCCCGTTTTGAAGCCGTCATTATCTTGATTTTCATAACAGGTGTTAGTTTCTGTCTGTATCCGTATCGACAGGTCTCCATCGTAGTGACTTGTTAGTCATCGCCTTGCTTAAAGTTCCACTGCTGTATGATCTGTTTACATCTCTGTACTGAAGGAGACTTTAAACTAAAGATTGAGGAACATAAAGTCATGAGGAAAATGTTTACTGAGTTGATAAACTAGCTCAGAAGATGGACCATTTTCTCTTCTGGTTTCATAACATCAGACTTCTTTTATGGTAACCAGTACAGTCCCCCCCTGCTGGCCATTAGAGAGAATGCAGGGTTAAGGCTCCTCCAGTCTTTTGGATTTACATGAAGACATTATTACATCCACAGGAGGCTCAGATGAACCGTCAGTCATCCAATGAGGATCCTCTTTAGGACTTCCCAACAACAAAAGAAACCCCAGGAGTAGATACAAAATACTCTAAACAAATGAACATCTCTTCCCACCTGAGAATACCTCCATTTATCCAAAAAGTCTGCTGTTCATGAAGCCAGCTGAGCCTTACTGTGTGTGGATTCAAACACAATGAATCAGGATTATGCAATAGAAAAACTGATATAATGAAGGTGTGACTCAGTAAACCCTTCTCAAACATGAGCTCAAGGACTGCTAGTGGAAAAAGAAAACCTCTTCAAGGCCTTATCATGACATTTAACACTATGCTTTAGTCATGCAGCCTGCCTAGATTTCATTCATCATAACTCGCCATCTGACAGAACCTTGGCTCTTTTACAATTCCTGGGCTTTCATAGAAAGATGCTTTGTAGTCAGACAGCTTTAATATCTACATTTAATACTGCAAATGTCAATAAAGACCTAATATATATATATATATATATATATATATATATATATATATATATATATGACAGGACGAAGAGAGAGTCGGAGCTTCTCATGACAACATTTTTAACAGAATATGAGATGTAAGAAAATGTAAATAAGCAAAATAGCATCTTTGAAATCATGTATTTTAATTTAGACTTTGTTCTCTGAATGCAAAATGAAGAAATTCAGACTTTCCCTCCCTCTGTGTTTTTTGTTTTTTTGTGTGTGAGCATACACTTGGCCCTGAGCTGGGTTAATGAGATGAAACTCTGGAGATAAATGAGCCACTTGGACTCGCTGATAGTACCCTCCTCATCCTCAGACAGCCCCGTCCTGTCGTCCTGTTGTTGTGCAGTACGTGTTCCCGCTGTAGGCGGTGGGGTGGGGGGTGGGTGGGCGCTCCTTTGTCATCATCATCATCCTCATCCTCGGCCAATGGAGAGGCCAGCGGAGGAGACACTTTAACCGTCTCCTCGGCGCGGAGCGGAGCAGAGCAGAGCGCAGCGC